GCCCAGGATGGGCCTGGCCAGAAGCGGCGCATGTGCACATGTGTCAGCGCCCGATTGGATCGCCCTCGCGGCGCCCGTGAGGCTGGGGAAAACTCGTTTGGGAATCCGTGCAAGGATCTGAGCAGCAGTGGATCTGAGTGTGCGGCCTGAGCATGAGCCAAATAAGTAGGAGCGAGACTGGGTGATAGTGAGTCTGAGTGCGATTGAGTCTGAGTGTGAGTGAGCCAGAGTGTGGAAGGGAAAAGGCGGGTAAGGAGGGCGAGGCGTTACACGAATGGCAATCACCACATCTTGGGACACCGGAAACAAACGATCCGCAAACGTGCCTTCGGCACGCCCTGGTCCTGTTTGAATGACTGCTGGCTGTCTGGCGCAACCTCTGGCAGTTTTCGAAGGGCGCCCCCCCCCCCCCCTCGTGTCTCGCCCCGAAACCCCCACAATAATTACCTCCCATTGTTGTGCGTCTGCTCGGCTATGCTGATGGCCTCTGCCGGGCCCCGAGGGAAGCGTCGTGGCCGAGGTCTCCAAGCAATTTGGGGTGACCCACAGCGGCGACGGAGAGCAACGTGTGCTGCATGAGGTGCAAAATCCGTCTGGCGCCCTGCCATGGGAGGAGTGGCCAGTTTACAGTCACACGCACGCAGAGCCAAGGTCAAGGTCAGGTCAAGGCTTGCTGTCTTACGTCCCCAAGAATCACCTCCCCTGGTGTTGCATCCCGGCGACCTTCTCGGCACCAATGCTGGCCCCAAAACGGCCGAGCCTGATTCGGCGCGACGACCGCCCAACGAGGCACCGAGAAGCCTCCAAGAGCCCCCTTTGGAGGCCAAAGGGACTGAAACAGAAGAACCTCACCGGCCCTTTGGGCGTCGGTGGTCCACCGAGTTCTTCCTTGCCTCTCCCAAAAGCCCCATTTCGGGGATGGACAGACCCCCCTTTAGCAAAACGTGGTTTAGTGAAAACGACCTGAGGCCCAAACCTGGCGGGCGCAAGCCTGGAAAATAACGGCCACGGCGCCCTCTCGAAAACCGAAAACGGACAATTCACTAATCAACGTGTCACTGTTGGGGGTTCTGTCCACCCCCGACCCTTCCCTCTGGGGAGGGGTACCCCCTCCCCTCCGGAGGCCTCTTAGGCCGGAGCCGCCACGTGTCAGGGAGTCCTTTCTTCCGTCCACAAGATGGCTCCAATGAGGGCCCCCGATGCTCCAAGAGGGCCTCCCAGAGCGGCTCAAAATGAGGCCGAAGATGGCTCAAAAGATAGCTCCCGGCGTACCTCCAAGAGGCCAGACGCGGGCCACCAGACGGTTCCAAGTGCTCTACAGTCGGGGCGTTGACCTAAGGAACCCTAAAGAAGGAACGAGGCCCCTTTTTTCCACAAGTTAACCTTCGATTTCCTGTCGAAAACCTAAGGAAAGCCTGAGGCAAGCTGTGAAACACTTAAGGAACGCGGAGCCCCTCCCCAACGAAAAGGGTTCCTTCCTCAGGGCCCCGACTGTATGAGCCCCCCTGAGGACCCCACCTACGGAGCCACAACTCTTTCAAACACCGCTTGTGAATCGAGTGCGTGTGGAGTCTCGCCTTGTCGCTTCCGATGCGCCTCTGAGGCCTCCAGAGCGCCCCAAGATGGCCCACGATGGCCCCCAAGAGGGCCTCCTCCTCCTCCTCCTCCTCCTCCTCCTCCTCCTCCTCCTCTTCCTCCTCCTCTTCCTCCTCCCCTCCCCCTCCTCCTCCTCCTCCTCCTCCTCCTCCTCCTCCTCCTCCTCCTCCTCCTCCTCCTCCTCCTCCTCCTCCTCCTCCTCCTCTGGTCCCCCCCACCCGGCGGGCCCAAGAGGTGGCCCGAAGAGGCCCTTCAAGACCACCCCCTTTGCTTCCAGAGATCCCCCTGGTCACCATGGCTGCCCGCTTTGTCTCACTATATGTGTATCGTCGTCCCTTTTCCCGTCAGCTCTGGTGGGCAGGGTTTCTGAACGGGCGAGCGTGAAGAGTTACAATGTCTGTTGCTTCCGACACATTTTGGCTGAAGATGGCATCGGGACGGCTGAAGAGAGGCCCAAGAAAGAAGACCCCAAGGCGGCCCCCCAGATGGCCCCAACGGTCATGGAACGCACGCTTCTTGACTTTCCTCTGATGCGATGTCTGGAACAGCTACCACCGCAGAATCCCACTCGAAGCTGGCGCTACGGAAGACGACAGCACAATTCCAAAAGTGGGCGGGGCGGAACGGCACCTCCATCCTCCAAGGAGGCACGTTTTAGTCGTGATGCTGGCGGACGCTCCGCGCGGTCGGGAGCGGCACAACGAGCAATGGAATCGCGAATCTGGCCCTGAACGGGAAAGCCACGAAAAGGACGGCCGCGGAGGGGAGTGAAGCGCGGGGACGGGCTCTCAGACCGTGCAGATCTTGGCGCACAGTGCGGGCGGCGTCAAGCTCCTGGAGCAAAGGGGAACAAGGGACGGCACGGATCCGTTCTAGGATATCGTGTGAAGCTCGGCGTTGGGGTGACCACCCATGCGTCATGTCTGGGAAGTCGCGTACAAGGGGCAAACGACTGTATATTGTGGCGCGACGGTGTATGGGGCCATCACACCACAGTTCCATCGTCAGGGGAAGTGCGTGGATACCGACTACAAAGTGATAAGAACCTGTGGAATGGGGCGGGCAAGTCTCGATCCTCGAAGTGGGCAGGAGATAGCATGGCACTGTCTCTAGCCCATTGGTGGAAGCTGTGAAAGGATGGGTACCCTTTACATTTCCTTGTTGGAGGCGAATCCACCGACCCTGTCGGCATGTGAGACGGGCTTTTCCGCTTGAGTCGTCGTCGCCGCCGCCGTTGCCGCTCCCCACCTTTCCCTCAGCCCTCCTCCTCCTCAAAGGTCCCAGCACGATGGAAATCGAGCAACGTCGTAATCGAGTCGAAGGGGAACCCCTTCCAGTTGATCCCTCCCCCGGCGGGGGGGAGGAGGGAATGGGGTCCGGGGGGAGGGGGGGGCCGGGGGGGCTCCAGGGGGTTGTTCCCGCCCCTCCCAAGAGTGGAGCACCCCTCCCTGGGAGAAGCATTTCTCTTCGATCTATTGCCTCCTACGTGCCTCGAGCTTACTTGTACTGCGGCTGGCTCCAAGAGGGCACTGAAACAGCCCAAGCTCGCTCCAAAACGCCCCAAGAGAGCTTCAAGAGGAGCCTCAAGAGAGCCCCAAGAGGCGGAGATTATTGATTTCCTCGTCGCTGTTCCATGTGATTCGCGTCCTCGCCTGCTCGGGCTTCCGACGCTCCAAGACGGCCGAAGCCTCTAACGTCGTACCAAGACGGCCCAAGAGGCTGCAGGAAGCGCCCCCCGAAGACCCAATACGGCCCCAAGACGCCCCACGACAGCCCCATGACGACCCAAGAGGCCACTCGGACGACCGAAGAGGGTTCCAAGAGGGCCCCAAGAGGCTCCTGAAAGGGGGAGCACCAACCGACGTTCCAAGCCTTCCGCCACAAGAGGCCCCCAGGAGGCCCCAAGAGACGCCCAAAAAGCCCCGAAGAGGCACCCCACAGGCCCAAGAGAGCCCCAAGAAAACCCCAAGGTGGCAAAATCAATGAACTTCCTGCACTTATCAATTTGTGCCGTCCCCATTCAGGGTCGGCGGCACCAGCCGTAAGGCCTTCGCAATATCATGGCATCGGGCTCGCTGGACACATCCGATCATCTCATCTGGCTTGATTTGACGATTCCGTCAGCACTCTGTATGCAAGTAGTTTGGGGTGTCGACTCTTCCAAGACAGTCCCTTGTGCCCCAGAAGGGGAACGATCTCCCCATCTCGATTCAGAGGTCTGGAGTAGGGTTTCAC